GTCTAAGATCTCCTTCATTTTCTTCTTTTTACTATTATTATTTTGTTGACATATTGTGTGCTTTGGGGCTGAAAGATATTTCTGAAAGGTTCACGCTGTGATATTTTAGGAGTTTTTGCGATATTTAGGAGCTGAAAATGAGCCACATCGCCAAATAGAACTTATCTACCAATAGAGTCCGTCAAATAAGTTGGTGGCGAGTTGCGCTATGGACACACCGCCATGTTGTGTGTGTGAGGTTCACGTGTTCGGCAGATCGTCTGCTTTCCTTCTGCTGTCCAAAATCATGCATCTTAAGTGAGTTGGAGCGCCTAAACCGACCGTATGCGTGACTGTGTGCGCACTCTGTAATGGTTGGTTGATTCCTGCCTCGCGCTAATTATATATAAACGATCACTCGACGAATTTTCAGATTTACAGATCGCTCGATTATTGATATAATTGATTGTGACAGCCCTAAATAACAGGCCGTGTTTGGTCCTGGAGTTTTTGACATGGTGTGGGATGAGTTCACGCTTGGAACTGCACGTATGCTGTACGGATAACATGCAGCTGGCAGGCGAGCGCTGAACACAGGTCTGTCAGGGCTAATATCCCATCTGTGTTCCATGTAGCGACTGTGTCAGTTTCATTTAATAAACGTTATTTGATAAGGTTGTTTGCCTGGAAGTAACGGTCCAGGGGCTGCATTCTCAACGTCTTTATCTTGCAGCTTATTAAGAGAAACACTTTCCTGTGTGAAATGGCCATGAAGAAACTGGAATGTTTCAGTTTACATCACAAAAGATGTGGATGTCACACCATGGGTTCTTACTGAAGCAACGCAACTGGATGATGAAGTAATCGGGTCCCCACTGTTTATAGAACAATAGAAAGCTTAAAACGTTTTCAGCATTTAACTAGATTACTTTATAATTTCACCGTTTTGTCTGAAGACATTAATTATTGTTACAGTATTGTTATACAAACTGCAGTAGAGCAAAAACAATTATGAAAACAACATCAGGCTTTTAGGAAGCTCAGCTTATTGTATTAAGCCTTGGAGAGAGTTGTGTCACTTTACAACTCCTAAAAATAAGAAGTCCAAGGAGAGATGGAGGAAAGAATCCAGAACGAGCCCGACCAGGAGCCTCTCCCTCGGGCCCTAACAGAACCCGTCCATCCTTGCTCAGCTGGAGAACCCAAACCACAATCCCTATATCTGTGATAAAAACTAACTAGATATTTATTAAGTTTGTCTGGTTACCACAAACTGATTCCTGTCGATTAACCAGGGAAACGGACTTATTCTAATAACCATGGAAATAATTCAGGTGCTAAGATGCTGCATGACACAACAAAATGACAATCAGGTGGGAGTCCAGCTGTCCCATCAGGGACAGAGATGCAACATGACCTTCTGCAGAATAAACCTCACGTGACAGTTTAGTTCTGTCATTCACATCAATAACAGATGAGCAGCCCCAGGCATTAATGCTGGTTCAGCTTGCTGACAGTGTTGATGGACCGGTGCCTGGTTCCTGTTCCTCACTGAAGAATAGAGAGGTCTGAAGACCAAGGAATTATTTATAAATAGTCAGCATGCCCACAACACGACTGCTACGGATTAACGCCGGCAGTTTATGCAGATCTTCATTCAACATTCCAATAACAGATCATGGTTTGTTAGGGTGGCCATGTTTGATTTCTGTTCCATCTCAGACCAGTATCTCACATGTCCTCTGGTGTGTCTTGATGTATACCATCGTTCTCTCCATCTCCTGGTCCAGGGGCTCCGTCTTTGCTCTCATAGCTTGAAACCCCTTCTTCTGGAAATGTGTCAGTGTGTTTTCTCGTGATGGTCCTGGGATTGGGGCACCAGTTCTCTCCTGTTCACATGTTTCCGCCTACAATCCCAGCCTCTGTTTCCTGACAGTGCAGCTGGAAATCTACTCCGGCCAAATTCCATGATCTGTGTACAATAAATATGAGGTCTCAGCATTGCTGGAGTTGAATAATTGAGCTGATTCTTGGTTCCAGTTCAGGGCGCTGGTGTGGTTCAGATTTTGAGTGATTCTGTACTGTCAGTATTCATCAAGACATTATTTGACGGATCACTAATGCTGCAGCACTGACTGTATGATTTGTAAATTGTTGATGTGTTTCAGTACTGCATAAAGGACAGTAAATATATACATCTGGTTCCAGAAAATAAGGTATTCCTGTAAATATGCATTAATAATGGTCCTGGTAACATACTTAATTTTATATTATTATATAAATACATATTATTAAGGCCGTGAATCAATTAATGCATTAATTAATTAAATATCTATAATTTTCTGTGATTAATCACGATTAATTATACCTAATTTGAAAACTCATAGTTATAAGTACTTATACATATGAATCTAAAAATTAACGCAGAATTAACACAAAGGGGAGTATCTGAGTCATTATCATGAATTATCCTTAATTATAACAATATTTTTATCCTATCTATGCTGCCTACTGGCAATTTTTTGAACAAATTATCCCAGGTAACCTCATCTTCCCCGTGAGACACTAACTGAATGTTTTGATGTAGACCTAAACTAGAATTTCAGAAATTCATTTTGGGAAAATGACACAGAACAGCATCACAAATTTTGGATATAATATTAACAGAAACTTGCTTTTCCCACAAAAGTCAATTTGCATTTGGTACACGCTGAAGATGGACGAAGATGTTTTTTTTTCCATTTTCGAGTTTTAATATCTGTATCTGATGTGGAATATTTCAGACCATATGTATGTGTCAGACCGCTCCCTCTAATATTGGTAGGGGATCTGCTGCTGGAGCTCACACAGTCAGTATTTTTTTTTGGAAATTCAAGCGCCCAGCGTTCTATGTTAAACTTGAGCTACATTACCGTGAGTCCATATTCACATCATAGTACCAGATATTGACTGTATAAAATTTGACTTAGGTCAGGTATTTTTTTAGATATTGCAGGTTTAAAATAATACATGACGCTAGAAAAAGGCCCCAAAATACCTCACCCCCATCCCTAAAAAAATAAATAAAAGGAGAAAACTAATGGCAGTAGAGACCTGAATTTTTTCCTATTAAGAAGTACAGATGCTCCTCTACTTACGAACTTTCAACTTACGAACTTTCAGACATACGAACGAAGAGGACTGTAAGAAATTGTGTTCATTGGGCTCCCGTTTCCTGTCCACAACATCAATTTTTTTTTCTGAGCGCCAGTTCCGCCTTGTACGACTTCTGGCTGATGACAGTGGTCTCTTTCAGCAGGATAATGCACCCTGCCACTCTGCAAAAATAGTTCAGGAATGGTTTGAGGAACATGAAAAAGAGCTCTAAAGAGCCAAACAAGTCCGATCCATGGGGGGCCCACCTCACAGCTTACAGGATTTAAAGGATCTGCTGCTAACGTCTTGGTGCCAGATACCACAGGACACCTTCAGAGGTCTTGTGGAGTCCATGCCTTGATGGGTTAGAGCTGTTTTATCAGCACGAGGGGAATCTACACAATATTAGGCAAGTGCTGTATATATAGGGAGATGAGAGAAGTAGAGATGAGATTCATAGAATGAGAATGAGTTTAGCTTCATGCTGTTGTATTCCTTTGTATTGTATTGATAAATTAAACTATTTTAACTATTTTTGTTTTAACAAAAAGCACAGTGAGTAGAAATTCTGGAAATTCCTCCACATATCAGGGGGCGGGATGTTCAGAGCTGTGGGGCATTCCTGTGGAGCTGAGGCCGTCGTCTTGGGGGATGAAAGCGGGCCACCTCGTGCCGCCCGGCCAGCCAACATGACCTCTGACCCTCAGCCCCGTGGGCGGCCCTTAGGTGTATCGCTGTACGGAGAGCCCCCAGAGTGCCAGCAACATTCACAGGAGTGGAAATGTGCTTCCTGTAGATACGGGGGCCTCTGGGGACCCGGCGAGGCTCCTGGCCGTCTGCGAGATGTGCCGTTTCGATAAACTGGTTACCCGCTCGCTTAAATACCTCCCTCCGCGACGTGTGTGGCTCTCTCTCGTTCTCTGGTTATTTTTAGCATCTGAGGTTTCATGTTAGGTTCTGCAGATGGGGCAAAATCAGGGTTTCCTCTGCATCTAAGTTAATGCAGCCCAAAAGCATGCAGAAATGTTACATGCAAATAGGGGGAAGCACGTCGAACGTTCACAGATACAAGAGGAAATCCTGTGACATCTAATACGCTGCCTCCCTGCGTACAGGGGCATGTTTCTGCAGGCCTGAAACAGCACAGAGAGCTTTTCATCCCTGTTACTGTTACACAGTATTGTGCATCAAATCAAAAATCAAAGTTTTAACTGTCATATTTTCCGCCTCTTGTTCTGCATTTCGTGCAGAGGTGTGGCACTTTAAATATGCTCTTTTTTATCATATTTACATTATGGTGAATTGTGGTGGAACTGTAAATTTCTCTGCGTCTGACATTAAGCAGTTTCGGGGGGGGGGGTCTTTATTTATGCCGGAGCCCTGCTTATTGCATGAGAGCGTGACACCAAAGCACCAAACCAGCAGCGTTAAGAGGGAAACCACCCTGGTGTCAACCGCCAGTTCCGCTGAACATGGCCGTTACTGCTGGCCCTGAACGGGTGTCTCGGAGATCGATATCTGACTTACTTAGTTTGGAGCTTCCGCAACACGTCAACCACCAGCTCCTGTAACAGTGTAGGTCCTTAAACTGGAATGTAGCAGTTAACTGGCCGATATTTAAATAGTGTGGCTTATGTATTCTGGTATAAACATGGAAGCAAGAAGTAACTATGATGCCTGATTCTAAATGAATTGCATCGGGATGACATCACGAATTGTGAATTTTTATTTTAGGGCAGAGGTTCTGGTCATCGCTGTAGGATGTGGTTCATGTGCATGTTGCATGGGAGTGAACACACTTCCTGTTTCTGATGTTATTTCCATGCAATGTGCGAAATGCCGCTGTATATTTATGTGGCTTGTTGTCCCTGTTCCCTACGCCACAGTTCCTCTGCTTGAAGAACATCAGGACGTTCCTGGCCGCCTGTACAGATGTCTTCGGCATGAAGAAGAGCGAGCTGTTCGAGGCCTTTGACCTGTTCGACGTGCGCGATTTCGGCAAGGCGAGTGCCGACCGGTCTGCCATCTGTGAGGTGGCAGCCGCAGCCAGGCTGCTGATGAGAAGGGCCTCATGGGCCACACACACACACACGTGCGCACATGTAGGGTAAACATATCCTTATGGGGACCGCTCATTCATTTCAATGGGAAAAATGCTAACGCTAACTATGACAACCTTAACCCCCACCCTGCCCTAACCATAACCATAAGTAACCAAACTAAATACAAGACTTTTGGCATTTTTAGTTTTTTGATGGCATTTATAGATCATTTTGGGGACCTCAAAAATGGTCTCCACAAAGCCAAAATAGGATTTTATCACAATGTAATATAAATCTAATTACACACACTAAGAAACAAAGGCAAATTAGGCTCCTCCTGGTAAAGCAAACCCCCCTAGACACCCAAGCATCCCTTCTCAGCTCATTCCCCCGTGGAGTGTGAAACCCCCCCCCCCAGCCTGAGCTGACATGCTGGCTGTTTAATGAAGCCTGTAGTGGCTTTTAATTAAACACCGTTATCTCAGTGTGTTCCTGAACATACGCTTTGACGTCACTCTCAGGTTGCCCCCCCATCTGGGCGTGGTGACACGTCATGTGTGTGTCGGCGTGTTCCTGAACATACGCTGTGATGTCATTTGTGAGGCCTGGGACGAACTCCTCACTACCCCGTAAGACAGTCACAGAGGCACAGTCTCTGCCGTTTTTACTAAGTTATTCATCCCAAATCAATTCCTCCTCCCCTCCCCCAGTCCTGTCAGTCCCGCCCTCTCAAGGTCGTCTGTAATCGATATCCGGTCCCTCTGTCCCCCCTCCACCGATTGCAGTGTGGGGAGTGTCCGCTGAGTGCTGGAGTAACTCGATAGCTTTGCTTTCCTGATGTACGCATCCACTGCTCTTCTGATCTTGCCGTGTGACGATGACGATGGCCGCACCGATTGACGGGAGGCTTTGCCCGGACGGGATGGAACATGAACATCTTCGTGGGGCCCAGTACTGTGTCCAGCACCGTCAGTCTGAGCCCAGACTTGTGACCCCCTACCTTTATCATCACAGGTTTCATTTATAAGGTCTGGATCCAGCAAACCCTCCTGACGGCCGTTTGGGTTACTCTTCCTAGTGTATAGATCGCTGTGACCCAAGACACATGGCCAGAGATCTTGACAGATGATGGTGGGAGGGGAATGGATCCCATTAAAGGTGTGATGCAGCATCAGGACTCATAGGGGATCTGGTTTGTTGAGCATGGCGGCTGTCAGCCGTTTGCGCTTCCTGTCAGCTCACGATGACGGACGTCTACAGCCGGCTGCTTTCACTCAGTTTAAAGACAAATGAAAAATCATTGCACCACTAGTTTCCTGTGACCTATAGAGGCCTTTAGAGTCCCTTCCGTTATAGCTATTTGGCCTCGTGTTCTGCTGCAGGAAGGGCTTACAGGTCAGGGGTCGGGCCAGGTCTCGGATTAAGGGGCCCAGAGCAGTGAAGTACAGCTGCAGGGCATCATAATTCTGCCCCCTGTTGGTGTTGAGGGGCATGTAAGCGTGACCACCCTCTGCTCTGGATTGTGTTCCTGAGGTCGCTAACTTTATGTCCAGCCTGGCTCGGGTTGATGGACCTTTTCAGAACACGAGTTACGGTTATTAAGCGTTAACCTGGTTATAGTCAGGTCGGTGGGGGTGGCGTGGTATGCATTGATGCCTGCAGCCACTTAAAAGCAGATGCGTATTTAATCATCAGCTATAACTCCTTAAATATACTTCAGCCAGCATTGGGGGGG